GGGGACTTGGGTGGGGGTTGGTTTTCGTTCCTAAAGGAAAGCGTCGGGGTGGGGTTTCAGGCCTAGGGACCAGCCCTCTCCGCGAAGAGCAGCACAAGCGTGGCCCCGGGCGGAGTAGCCCCCGGAAGCCTGCATCCTTTTCTAAACTCGTCTGTATGTAAACAGTCAATAAAACAATCGATTTGAACTGGGCTTGGTGACTTTTTGTGGGGGATTGAGAAGAGGGTGACCGAGTAGGCCTGCGGCACGATGGAGAAAATCGAGGGAGGAAGGAGGCACTAGGAGCCTCCTATTGAGATCTTTTGTGCGATTTCGCGTTTGTGATTTTGCCAGGTGTTTGCATCTAGCCCTGCTCTTGATGCCTCCAAATCTTTGGGTGGAGGGGTGAAACCAGTTGGAATGGGAAGAGGCTAGAACACAGGAATTTCCTCCGGTAGTGTGTGCATGTGCACTTGCACTTGAGTGTATATAACATCCTCTTGGTTGAGACTATGGTGTGATGGTGCACGCGCGCGCGTGTGTGTGTGTGTGTGTGTGTGTGTGTGTGTGTGTGTGTTGCCTAGTTTCTAAACACCAGCCTCTGAGTTCTAGAAGTGGGGTGGGGGGTACTTATGAGAACAAGACTGCTGTGGCTTGAACAAGAGAAACAACACAAATATCAGAGCAGGCAAATGATGTCAACCAGCAAAGGGGAAACCTGGCAGGTTGATTCCACAGAACAAGCTGGCACCTTAACCAGCTTGTTAAGGTTAAGTACTGTCCCCAAGTGTGCGTGTCTTGTGGTTGCAGGTGGGGAGTGAATAATGCATGGATGGAAAGCATGTATGGAATCAGGCTTGAGATGGTAAGTAGAAGAGGTGGAAGATCAAGGGAGGATGCTGTGCTCCTCACCAGCCTAAAAGGCTGGGGGTGGGCTGCCTGTATGTTTCTGCTGAATCCCCTCAAGGGGTAGGAAGTGGCCAGGAAGGGAAGTGAGAAAAGAAAAGAACAGAAATGAGGGGAACAAGTAGATTCCATCCTTTTCCTCTCTCTTCCTGCTTCAGATCTCTTCACCCATGCCCTCTTTGTTAGTTTCTTGTCTTCCTAATCGGGCTTGTGAGACACTAAATGGACCCAGGTCAGACATCCAGCATCTTGACCTGGCCCCAGGTCTGTCTTCCTGTTGAGGTGATAACTCAGGGTCTGGGCCCAGGTTCCCTTCCTAGACCAGCAAAGCTGTTTCAGAGGGAAAAAATCCTTCTTAGGGTCACAGGCTCAGTCTGCCCCAGGTCCTAGACCACGTCCTGCCACTGCAGCCCAACCATTGGAATATTATCTTTTAGAAAGAGGACTGCTTTGTTCCACCTGCCAGTCAATTCCTAGGGCTGGTTCAGGGATCTACCCATAAGATTGCTGCTAGGTACAGGCCTGGCTGGGCCAGAGGGTGCTCAGGGATTTGAGTCCAACCAAATCCTCTGGCCATAGGTCTCCAGTGAGGAGAAGGGCTCCTTCCTGTCTCTCCCAGTCCTCAGGATTCGGGCCCTCCTGAGCCCTCCAAGGATCCTGGATGCCCACTAGGGAAGGCACAGAGGTGCTGAGAGTCCAGCCTCTTCTCTGCCTAGGACTAAGCTTCTTAAGAGATGAACAAGCCCTACTCAGCTAGACCTTGTGCTCCCTGGGAGAGGGCAGGCCCAAAGACTCTGCTAATGGGACAGGAATGGGTAGTGTTGGAGTCCAAGGACCAGGATGCAATGCCAACCCTCTCAGGAACTCTCCAGTTTCTGACCAAATGTTTGCACAGAATGGTCTCTAGACTCTGGCTTTCCTTCATATTTCCTTTTAAATTTTCTTTTTTCTTTCCCATCTTTTTCCTCTGTTCTCTTTTCAGTTGTTCCAATTCAACTACCTTTAGATTTAATTCTTTTTTACAGTCTCCATGTCAGGTGGTTGTGCAACCTTGGCTTGTACTTAAGTCAGAGGTGGGGGAACTCACTTTTTATCTCTCCCCTCAAGGTACACTTGTTGAGCAGTTTCAAATTTGTCTCTCCCTGCTGCCACCCCTCAGGCCTGAATGCCACTGGCATGGGCTGTGAGAACCTGCAGAGGTTTAGAGATGTAATCCCTACCTCCACCCCTGACTCCAGGGCTCCACAGTTTTTCTTTCAATGCATCTTCTTTGAATGTCAATACTGTATGCTTCAGGTGCTGTCCTAGCTTAGTGTCCCACATTGTCTTTAGTCAGAAAAGGTATTTGGATGCCACATGGGAATGGAATCTAATGGGTAGAGGAGTGTGTGTGTATGTGTGTGTGTGTGTGTGTGTGTGTGTGTGTGTGTATGTGTGTGTGTGTGAATGTGTCTCTTAATGTGTTTTGGGGAACCTGGAAAATGGTCAGCAAATGCAATATGACAGCAGTAGCCTTGGAATTCAGAAAAATTCATTAGAGTCAGTAATTCTTTGAGCTACAGACACCACATGTCCTGGATGTGGACTTGAATCTGATCAGAAACCTGTCTGCACAAATGATTTGAAAGGAGAGCTCCCCCTCCTCTGCATGCTTCGTAAAGATCAGCTGGAATGAGAACCATCTAGATCATCAGAGAAAATCCATTAATATAAAGGAACAAAGGCTAGCTGGGCTTCTCTGAGAAAAAGCAGCTGATGTGGATCCTGGATTCCAGATCTTGTCTGGAATGCAGCCCTCCCCCCACCTGACAGTCCAGTAACATCTACAGCTAATGCTAACATCTCCAAAGATCAGGCATGGCAACAAATATTTAGAATATTGTTCCCTGATGGTGATGTGAATCTCAATTTTCTTCCCTGGCTTTCAGGGTAATGCAGGGATCTTGCTTGCTAAGACTGCCCCTTTCTGGATTTTTTAAGCCTAGAACTCAACCTGTTATCTATATAAAAGAGGTATCATCTGCAGAGAAAGGATCATGACTGCATGAGCACCTTTCAGGTACACACCTGATGGAAAACCATCTCCAGGTACAAGGACATTAAAAAGCTCTATGTTGAAGCCATAAATTGCCATAAATTGCCAAGTTTGACCTAATAAATACTTTTATCCTGAATATCTGCAACATACAGGTATCGATGAGAAATTCTGCTAGAAAACCTGGGCTAAAACAAGCAGAGCCATTTCAGTTGTAATATGTCAACCAATTGATTGTTTTTGAAACACACCCACCTATACCTATATGTTCAATGACAAATTTTTCCTTAGGGCTCAACAGGGAATAACATTATATTGAAAATGAAAAATCTGCTGTAGCTGGCATATAGAAGAGATTGAATTACAAAATATCTTACAATGTTAGTGTTGCCTTTAAAATATAACCAATGCAGGGCTGGGAATGTAGCTCAGTGGTGGAATGCTTGCCTAGCATGCACAAGGCCCTGGATTCAATCCCTAATATCAGGAAAAGGGTGGTGGTGGAGAGGGGTAGCTAAATATGATCAATATTCCTGAGGAGATTTGATTTGGATTTTTTAAAAAATAATTTTTCTACCCCAGGCTGGGTAGAAAAAATAAATTGTTGGGTTAAATTATTTATCAAGACTTTGTATCATCCCTTGGTTAAATAAGTTATTTGAAGATGATTGGATTTCTGAAATTGTGCTAATTGTGTATGCTTTGTTTGGACATGCAGATGTAAGTTTAATAATGAAATTTAAGTCCACATGGAACAAGAAGAATAAGTGTTTATATTTTTATCAACTGCCTACTGCTTAAGTATACCCCCTTGTGTATTAGGAGTTAATTTGGTTTTGGCATATTAGATGCGTTTTCTCTTAGCAACACTCTAGCAAACTGGTCCTTAAATTGAGTCTAAAAGCCATTCAAGGCATCCAACCATTTGAGAGAAAAACTGCCATGATCACAGACATTAGAGAAGAACTTCATAAGAATTGATCAGTGTTGAAATGGGGAAAGAACTGGAATGGAGAATTACTATCAAATGCTTTTTAATACAAGTGGCTTATTAAACATCTAAACCAACTAAGCGTTCTCAAGGTCATCACCTAATATTAATACAAATAACACCAATGTAACCAACATTTATTAACTCTTACCATATTCCAGGCATGTATTATGGACTTTATAAGCATCATTTTATTAATTCTTATGACAATCCTGTGAAGTGATAATATTCTTTTGCAATTTACAAGCAAATAAATAAAAGAGCAGAGAGGGTTAGTAACTCACTGAAGGCCCCACAGCTTTGTGATTTGCAGGGATGATATTTGTCTGGTTCTCTGAATCTAGTGCCAGAACTCTTAGCCATCAACACAATCCTCCTCTTGATATCTTTATAAATCAGATCCTGTGAAGGATATTTTATATATTATTAAATTTGCTGCTAATTATGGAGCTTGTCTAGAAGGGGTTTCTCTTGCTGTCTCTTATTTCTCAAAATAGCACCCCCCCATTATAAAAGTAACATGTGCTTAAACAATCAAAAATTTAGTCCTTCAAATCACACCAGCCACATTTCAGGTGCTCAATATCCACCTGGGACAAGTGGCTCTGTGTACTAAACAGCAAGGATACAGAACATTCCATCATCAGAGAAAGTTCTTTTGGTGGTGCTGTATGGAAAAGTTCAGAAATTTATGGTAAAAGTAGTTTATTATTTATAATTCCCCTGTCCAATGAAAAATGTGGTTAACAATTTATGTTTTTTCAGTCTCTTTCTAAAATAATTTTATTACATTACATGAGTAGCATATGAATGCATTCTTATCATAAAATAATAAACTGATAAACTGAGTTGTGTGTGGTGCTATACACCTGCCATCTCAACCCCTCAGGAAGTTGAAGCAGGAGAACCTCAAGTTCAAGGTCTGCCTTGGCAACTTAGGGAGACCTTGTCTCAAAAAAAAAAAAAAAAAAAGAA